TCAACATTCTCTTCTACAACAAGAGTATGACGCCAACAGTTTTGAATTGTAGCTTCCGAAACCTGCTCCCAAACTGCTTGGGCCCAACTCATGGCCTCGAGTATGTCAACGACATACAGGTGAGCAATTTCCTGGCGAGTTGGTTGAGTCTGTTGCTCAATATGATGCTTTCGTAGGGTAAGAAATCTCATAGCCCAACTTGACAAAGCAGTTAAAGTCATTGTTGGGTTGGCCAAGTGATGCTCACAAATTGCTCGGCGTTGCTGGGCGTTGAGGACAGTTCGTTTTTGTGAAGGCTTTTTCATCGAAGGCAGTCAATGGATAAGTGACCACACGTTCAGGCCACTTCTTAAGTTAAGTTTGAATTTTTGAAATGCTTGCAAGTGTCCCACAAAAAACCTTTGTATATTGATCAGAAACTACACTATAGAATGTAACAGTTATAAACTTCCATTTAGACAGAAATTACCTGTACAACAAATTCATCCTCGTGTAGAGTACGTTTCCTCGGATGGTTCGGGCAATTTATGGATGCATGTACGGTCATCACTCTAAACAAAGACGAGCGTCGCGATGGAAAGGACCCTTCTCCCTCACGCATTATGTGCTACAGTACTTCGACATGGACAGATTACATGTAACTTTCGGTTGCTTATCCCAAGCACGAGGACCAGTGACACGGAGGTATTCTCGGACTGCCAGAGGTTGCAAAATATGCTCCATGCAATTGGCCCCGGGTTCGATCCCCGCCGTAGACATGCTGGAAAACCTGCAGAGAGTTTGTACTTGGCCAATCAGTGGACCCATGCCGGACTTTATCCAGAGCGCGTTTACTCTCATGGGTGCACTGGGGCCATACAAACTTCAAAAGACTTCTCGCCACGACGTGTTTTTCTCAACTGAACATTGACGAGACAATGGCGAGGACGCCGTGAGACAGATTTGCACTCCCGACGAGTTCATTCCTGTTCAGCATCAGGACGAAAACTCGTGGCGCCGTGAGACAGATTTTCCCTCGTGACACAACGATGCGATCATTATTCAACTGGACACCACGTTCTCAGCCATGCAACCTTTTACCTTCCTTGCGCTCGTCTCGATGGCGTCGACCGCCGCCGCCCAAGCCTGCACAGCCACCGGCACGAACGTCACCGTGAGTGGTTTCGTCATGGACAACTTCTGCATCCAGCGGGGCAACCTTGTCGACAACCCATCCGTCATTACGCTCAAGGGCCCCGACGTGCACACAATCCACTGCCTCATCGACCTCACGCCGTGCGTCGAGTCCAAGTATACGCTGCTGGCTCCGCCCGCGAACGGGTCCGACTTGTACTCGGTCAAGTACCAACTGGGCGACGCCGGCTCGGCGCTGGCGAGGGCTGCGGCGCGGGGTGCGCGTTCTTTGGGTGGCAAGACTGGGTTCAGCGTGACTGTGACTGGAATCGACGACGGCACACCCGAGCTCAAGTGCGTCGACATCTCCAAGACTGTGATTGCCGATGGCAAGACGCTGACGTTGGCGGCGATTCCCGCCAGCACCGGTGTCTCGTCGCTGGCGTTGCCTAGTGTGGTCGCTGCTGTTGGCGCTGTCATCGTGGCATTCGCGTTCTAATTAATGCCTGGTAGAACAGAGCCATCTGCTTGCTCGAGCTTCATCCAAATGAATGTATCTATATATTTGATGCCTGTGATTCCAGCGTATTGGTGGACCATACATTTGGCCCTAGCAATCCCTTTCATCTTTTGAATGGACTGTTTACCGTATTCAAGACGTACCAATTTCCCACTCGACAGAATCGTGGTCCACGGCACGCCCGAACCCAAGTGGCGTGAGGGTATCGACGTCGGTGATTGTCGACTGCAAGGCGCAGACGATGCCGACTAACACTGCCGTAATGGCGACGACTTCGGACCCCATACGACCACCGCGCAACCTGCCATATCATCCGTCTACGCGATAATCTTGTCTGTGATCTCCGTGGAGGTAGGTGCCTGTCGGATTTTCGGATATGCTTTGTGCTGGGTACATTTGGACTCATTTAACCCGAAAGACTGCAATGCCCTCTATTCCCCCACCTAAAGAACAGCCTGGCCATTGAGTCAGTGCCTTTGCGTGGAGCGCGACGATTATTGCCAAGAAGGCAACGCTCGGAGAGTTCTGAGCAATTTGAATCGTGGGGACAAATTCAGTTGCCGAGTGGCCCAGCTCCTGCGGCCAACCGAGAAGGGATTGCTAGGGCCAAATGTATGGTCCACCAATACGCTGGAATCACAGGCATCAAATATATAGATACATTCATTTGGATGAAGCTCGAGCAAGCAGATGGCTCTGTTCTACCAGGCATTAATTAGAACGCGAATGCCACGATGACAGCGCCAACAGCAGCGACCACACTAGGCAACGCCAGCGACGAGACACCGGTGCTGGCGGGAATCGCCGCCAACGTCAGCGTCTTGCCATCGGCAATCACAGTCTTGGAGATGTCGACGCACTTGAGCTCGGGTGTGCCGTCGTCGATTCCAGTCACAGTCACGCCGAACCCAGTCTTGCCACCCAAAGAACGAGCACCCTCCGCCGCAGCCCTCGTCAGCGCCGAGCCGGCGTCGCCCAGTTGGTACTTGACCGAGTACAAGTCGGACCCGTTCGCGGGCGGCGCCAGCAACGCATACTTGGACTCGACGCACGGCGTGAGGTCGATGAGGCAGTGGATTGAGTGCACGTCGGGGCCCTTGAGCGTAATGACGGATGGGTTGTCGACAAGGTTGCCCCGCTGGATGCAGAAGTTGTCCATGACGAAACCACTCACGGTGACGTTCGTGCCGGTGGCTGTGCAGGCTTGGGCGGCGGCGGTCGACGCCATCGAGACGAGCGCAAGGAAGGTAAAAGGTTGCATGGCTGAGAACGTGGTGTCCAGTTGAATAATGATCGCATCGTTGTGTCACGAGGGAAAATCTGTCTCACGGCGCCACGAGTTTTCGTCCTGATGCTGAACAGGAATGAACTCGTCGGGAGTGCAAATCTGTCTCACGGCGTCCTCGCCATTGTCTCGTCAATGTTCAGTTGAGAAAAACACGTCGTGGCGAGAAGTCTTTTGAAGTTTGTATGGCCCCAGTGCACCCATGAGAGTAAACGCGCTCTGGATAAAGTCCGGCATGGGTCCACTGATTGGCCAAGTACAAACCCTCTGCAGGTTTTCCAGCATGTCTACGGCGGGGGTCGAACCCGGGGCCAATTGTATGGACCATATTTTCCAATATACTGTATCTATTCCTCGCCTATTCCTGGTTCTGCGTGGAAATGTGCAATTGCAATTGAATAAGAATGCATGGAGGAATGAGTTGTAGTACTCTTTGCAAATACGATGTTACTATATATAAATTCCACACAATACGTCCCATTGGGACGACGAGTCCTACATGAGCCAATCAGAGACTCAACAAACTTACAGTTAGTATATTTGACCGATCATGGACGGAAGATTCATTCCGTGGAAATAGTTTGGCCAATCGTGGGCAAAGACGCAACTTTGCTACCCTATCGGTATGTGAAATGGAATGAAAACACTGTTGTTTTGCGTAGGAGACAGAGGAATGATATATATCGACCATGTCTTCCATCGAGTTCAGTTCCGAGCTTTGGAATTCCAGCATGTCCCAACGGAACGCACCCTTGGCAGTTGTTCAAGCGTGGTGGATGTGAGAAATGTCCACTGAAGGCTCCATTCGTCGACAATCGTGACGGTAGCCCTGCTTCTGTTCATGTTACGTACGTACTGGCTGGCTGCCACGGGCGTCGCAAAATTGGCCGCCGCAAGTCTGAGGTCGCGTTCGACTCTTACCATTCTTCCAGCAGTCAGCACTTGGTGCAAAATGCACTGGTCAAGTCCAAAACGGTCCTAATGCCGAGTGGACGAGGTCGCTAGCACGAACCCGTCCCCATGCCGACACTCGATCCTCTTGCCCATTCACATCATTTCTCGAGTGTCCCATCAAAACTTTGGTTTGCACCGATGAAAAGTCGTTTGACAGGTTTTCCACTGCAAACACAATTCTCGACGAGGGTAAACACAACGCTGCGTCAGGTTGTCGAGCAGTCGGGATCAAACTACTGTCACTCAACCAGACGAATCGAATTGACAATGACGACGGGATCGGCGACATCGTTGGGAGCATCCGGTGGGGACTCACGAACAAATTCGATCCACACGTTCATGCCGTCAGCGACGATGGCGCCGATCCGAGTTCGATGTACGGCAAGAGGTCATTCTAGATGGTCGATGCGCGATCGAATTGGTGGACGTGCACGCAAGTTCTCAACGTCGGGAATAAACAGATACGGCGCCACCGAGTGCAACAAAGCGACGACGAAGGAATGACACGATCAGTCGATGATGAAACACATAGTACACGCAGGCGAGTCATAGCATTGCTCGCGTTAACGGATGACTTGGCAGGTATTGCGCGGTGGTCGACGTGTGGTCGGAAGTCGTCTCCAGCAGCAGTGTTAGCCGACAACGTCGGCAACGGACTTGGAGACTTCGACGCCGTTGTGATTGTGAATTCGGGCGTGCCGTCATCGATCCGAGTCAGGTGAGACACAAGCCGACGTTGCCTTTCAACCATCGAGTGTTCTCGGCAACTGCCTTGCCGAACGTCGCGCTGGTAGCGCCGATATTCATCTTTGACCGAGTACATGTCAGTGCCATCGGCGTTGGGCGTGGATGAACGGCAACACTCGGCGTCGGCCAACGAATGGATGCGCCACAGGTCGATGTTGCAGCGAGCGGGATGTCCATGAGGGTGCCAGCAAAGACACACGGGTGGACGCAACTGGACGCGTTGACGTTCTTGCCAGTAGCCGTACAGCCTAGGCCATCGACGCCAGCGACAAGTTGGAGCAGTGGATTGCGACGATGGGTGGGGTTTGCATGGCGGTCGTGCCAACGCAGTTCACTCGAGAATGCGACACTGAGGCGCGTGTTGGAGTCGCACGTTGTCGTCCACGGCGGTGCCACACATGGTCATCGCCACACTCGTGATGGATGAGTGGATTTACTCGCAATCATAATTCGGACCACTTTGAATTCGACGGAACCAATGACGCAATGATCTCTCACCTATTCCTCCGAATTCCATCGTCCCAGGCAGGGTGAAAGTACTCGTTCACCTGCTCCCTTACCTATGGATACCGTCGCGAAAGGTCACGCCCGTGCGGTCCGTACTATGTAGAGGAGGTTAGAGCTCGAGCCAATTCCATCTTGTTGCCCCCCCGCTTACATCGTCGCACCCCCTCGAGCTTGCACCTGTTCCAACTCAGCCGTGTACACGCAAAATGCACAGCGCTTGACTACCCATTTGCATACGGATTCGGAATGGTGTACTCGAACCGGTATGAAATGCATCACAGAGTGCACAAGAAGGATCTCGCTGGCAGGAATTGCATTCTAAGTGTTGGCAGCAAGCGTGTTGCGGCCACGCACTGTAGAGTTTGATTGTATCACGATGGATGCGACGGCAGATGGTGTTGTGTCCGCACGGACTCTCTGGATCGTTCGACGCAAGCTCGTGAAATTTACGCGACTTTTCTTTACTGGCGTGTCCCATTTTGACCGTTGGAAGCCGATGGAATCGACAAATACGCGCCTTTTCGGGACCAGAACCCAAGAGCATGCCAGCATCCATGTGAACCAACGCGACATACGCTCCCCTACCGTGTCAGAAGCACTGGCTAGACGATGTGAGTTCATCATCCAAGCCAAACCACCCCCACCGTCGTATTCCATAATTTACGCCGTTCACCGACTGCCCAAACATGCAACCTTTTACCTTCCTTGCGCTCGTCTCGATGGCGTCGACCGCCGCCGCCCAAGCCTGCACAGCCACCGGCACGAACGTCACAGTGACTGGTTTCGTCATGGACAACTTCTGCATCCAGCGGGGCAACCTTGTCGACAACCCATCCGTCATTACGCTCAAGGGCCCCGACGTGCACTCAATCC